AGCTTTCTGACATCCTTCTTGAACTGAGGAGCCCAGAATTAGATGCAGTATCCAGATGCAGTCTCACCAAGGCCAAGTACAGTGGGAGGATGACATCCTGAGATTTACTTGAGAAGTGTCTATGGATGCAAGCCAGAGTTTTATTTGCTTTACCAGCTGCAACATCACATTGGTGGCTCATGTTCATATTGTGGTCAGTCATGACCCCCAAGTCTCTTTGAGCTGTGGTGCTAGTGAGCATAGCACTGCCAAGCCTATAAGCATGCTGTGGGGTTTTTTTTCCCCGAGATGGAGTACCTTGCATTTTTCTGGATTGAAAATCATCATGTTTATATCCGCCCACTTACTAACCTTATCCAAGTCAGCCTAGATCACTAGCCTATCCTCAGGTGTGGACGCTATGCCCCAAAGTTTAGTGTCATCGGTGAACTTGGCCAGCGTGCTTTTGACAGCAGTGTCCACATCGTTGATAAAGCTGTTGAAGAGAACCGGTTCAAGGACAGAGCCTTGGGGGATGCCACTGGTCACGGAGCACCATAATGATTCACTGCCATTGACCTCTACTCTCTGGGTCCAACCTTGGAGTCAATTACCCAGCCATCCAACTGTGGTGTAGCCGAGGCCACATTTGGCCAATTTTTCCATGAGGAGATCATGGGACACCAGATCAAAGGCTTTTTAAAGTCCAGATATATAATGTCTGTGGCAGAAATGCCACCATCTGTGCCCCTCTCCAGAGATCTGTCTCTGCCAGCGTGAGAGGCTGGTGTTGAATCCCTCAGGACGGGGATCTCCCACCTTGTCTGCATGACAAAAGCCTGGTGCCTGAATGCTCTGGTCACCTGGGCAGGGGGGAAAAGCCCCGCTCACCGGCCCAGGTACCCAGTGATGCTTTTTTAGATTGGTTGGCTTGTGGCCAGTACTGGCAGCTTTGATTGGACCGGCTGCTGAGGTCAGAAGGGTTATTTAAAGGCCTGGGCCAGGAAGAAGGCAGCCATTAGCCATGCGGTCATCCAGGTGAATCTGAACCTGGCTCTCTCCTCATCACCGCATCCTCCAAGAGTGCCCTGCCTCCAGAGGAAACAACAACCACCTCTAGACAATGCGTGTGAGTAACCTACTAGAGATCCGACTAGATATTTAGCTTCAGTAACTCAGATGCGTGTTGAAACGGCTACCTCAGCCACCCTGGTTTGCTCTATGGGATTCCTCTGATATTCCTCTGATATTTCCATGATACTGCTCTACCTTTTACCTTGTTTCCGCCCTACCTCCTGAATCAATAAAGTTCTCCTTTGTGACCCATGTGGGAGACATTGTGGCAGAAATGCCACTGTCGGTGCCCCTCTCCAGAGATCTGTCTCAGCCAGCCTGAGAGGCTGGTGTTGAATCCCTCCGGACGGGGATCTCCCACCTTATCTGCAGACAAAAGCCTGGCGCCTGGGAGGCGATGCTCTGGTCACCTGGGCGGGGAGGGGAAAGGCCCGGCCCTGCGCATAGGCCCAGGTAGCCAGGGATGCTTGGCAGATTGGTCGGTTTGTAGCCAGTATTGGCAGCGTTGAGTGGGACCGGCGGCGGGG